AATATTTTGAGTCAAAAATTTTTACGCCTTCTATTAGTTTGGGGCACTTATGTGTATTTTTTATCGTTTTTTAATTAGGGGTGGATTTTTTTGGGGGTCGCGCCTTATCTAACCTTGTGGAAATTGTTTGGTATATTTTTAAAGAATTTTTAAAAATATTTTGAGTCAAAAATTTTCACGCCTAATAGTGATATTTAATATTTTATTATTATACATATATGTTATTTGGAAAGGGGTTGTTTTTCAGCCCCAATATTAAAATTTTGATAATTTTTTGTTAGATATTTGTTGTATTTACTGTTCTGAACAAGATTATTGCAGAAAAGTTTATAAATAAAAAAAAAATTTCGTTCAAATGAACGTTCAAAACTTTAGGGTCCTAACAGGCAACTGGTTAATGTAGTTTAAGGTTCTGGAAAAAAAATTTACGATAAAGGTCCAGAACACAATTTCTTCGTTTATAATTTCGTCTGGCTGGTTTGTGTAATTCCTTAACCAACTGTAGTTTTTGGGAATCCATTTTTATTTTTTTTTTTTCAAATCTTGAGTAGACTCCAATGCGTTCAATCTGCTATCCAATCGAGAAATAATCTCTTTTATAGAAAACACGTCTATATTATTTTTACTGTTTAATTTTAAATCATCAAAAAATTGTTTAACAGTTTGTTCTAATGTTATGATTTTTACATTATTATCAGTTAATGCAGTTTTTAGGGAGTTTGTTACATCATAGATGGCGTTGACTTCAGTTTTTACAATTTTATTAACAATATTTAAATTAACTGCATCTCTTTCGTTTTCAGCATCAGCTAAATTACACATTTTTCTATTTTCTATGTTAAAATTTCCATCTGATGTGGGCTTAAAACCAAGCCCTGGAGGGCCTGGAGGCCCGCGATTTAGATTTTCTACGCTTTTAAACTGACGACCGAATTTGTCGATACTCATGTTGCAAATGATGTTAAAATATATAAACACGTAATTAATAAACAATTTTTGCTTCACGCAATTCTTCAATTATTGATAAAATTTCATTATTATGACTCGGATTTCCAGCAGCTTGAGACGCTAAAAGTAATCGCAATCGATCCACTAATTCATTAGGATCATCCCAATAAATATAATCAATATTTTTATTTTTTTTATTTATCATATATTTTGGTATTAATCCACGGCCAAGTTTCCTTTTTCCTGCTTTGGGAGAAGATATTTCTTTTGCTATAAAATTTTGAAATTTCAAACTTTTCTGTTCACGAATAGTTTCATCAGCTTTATAATACTTTTTGTGCGCATTGGTTGAAATAATAATATTTGCATAATTTTCGCGATCATGTAAACTTATAAAATTTTCTTCTGGAGTTTTCTTAAATAAAAGTTCAAGTAAACCCTTGGTAACTGGATAAATTGAATTATTTATTAAGATGTTATTCTCTTCAAAACTAATCGGTGAATCACCAATCATTAATCCTTTAACTAATTTTCGCACACCATATATACTGTCTAAATCTTTTTTCTTTTTATCTAATAATTGCAAATATCCACTTACAATTTTTGTATCAACACTTGGTGATGCATTTATAGTATTTGAACTACTATTTAAAGATGCAGTTTTAAATGATATTTCAAGATCATCGTCTTCGTCTTCATCTTCATCTTTTATTTGTTTTGAGTACAAATTATCATCACTGGGATCAAAAATGTTTTCTTGTTTTAATTCTTCATTTTTTATTTCAATTTTCGGTGTTTGAATATTTTTGACATTTTCAAATTGATCAGCTAGTTTTTGAATTGGAGTTACTATTGGTTTAAAGGTGTTATTTAAGGACTGTTCTATGTCTTCTTTGCCTATTTTTATCAATCTATGTTTCCGTCGAATTGCATCACTTGCTTTAGCAATTTCTCCCAATATATTTTTTTGTTTTCGCAAATTTTCAACTTGAACAGAAGGCATGTTGTTCATTCAATGTACAAAAAGAGACTGTCACTTCATTATTTTATTCCTCTAATTTTATGAAACAGTCAAAACATTTTCTATATCTACCATTATTAATATCAGAATCTTTATCAATTACTAGAAAATCATGCTTATTTTTCCAACAAGAATTACAAATTTCTTTAAATTTTATGAATGACATGTCAGTATTAACATGATCGTCATATAAATGTTTAAGATTCATTTCATCTTGCCTAAAGAGAATTAATAAATTTACATTGTCTCGTATCAAAAGTTTTGGAATACGAGCATACGTCTGACATAAGTAGAAACAATCGACGGCCTTGTGTCGACCCATAGCAAAGAACGCTTTAATGTTATCTTGCTTCTCGCACGCGACATCATCAAATATAAATATTGAGTTAGGTCGCGCTTCACTTGGAGAAACAACATTTGCATGCTCATTAAATGGAAAATATTTTACGCCATCTATTGGTTGTAAAACATTTTCTAAAAATTTATACTTTGGTTGATTTAGAGATTTTGAAAAAACATAGACATTTTCAAATCTTAATCCATTTGGATGTATTAAAAGTGCAAGTAAAGCATTCGTCTTTCCACAGTTGGAAGGTCCACAAAATATTGCTCGCACACTATTCGGTAATAAATTACCATGTCGCAGTTTATTTTCAGTTTTTTGCACTACCGTATCGAAATTAATAACGGGTAATTTGATATGTTGTTCATTAAACTGCATCGTATTTTAAACTAAAGAAAAATGTATAAATACTCAGCTTATAAAGATAATTTTGTTAGTTGATTTTCTGTATTTGGAAGGATATGATTGTGCACGCAAATAAAAAACGAGTCAGTTGTAAACAATCCTTCAAAGGGATAAGACGTGGAAAAGGCTTCTTAAATAAAATTATAAATAATTTACCATTTGAACTACATATTCCTGGCTATCAGTTTTGTGGTCCAAGAACAAAATTAGCTAAGCGACTTGTTCGTGGTGACCAAGGAATTAATCCTTTAGACGCAGCGTGTAGAGAACACGACATTTCTTATTTAAGAAATAGGGAAAATATTGAAGCTAGGAACGTTGCAGATAAAGTGCTTGCAGAAAAAGCTTGGAATCGTGTTCTTGCACCAGACGCAGGAGTTGGAGAAAAACTTGCTGCTTACACAATTACAAACACCATGAAAGTAAAATCTAAATTAGGCATGGGACTAAAAAAGAAGAAAAGAACAAATGCTACATTAAGAAATATTATATCAGCAGCTAAAAAAACAATTAATCCAAAGGATGATAATATGAATGCTGTTATTAAATCTGCGTTACTTGGAGCGCGTGTCGCTGTAAAAAGAGCTGGTGGAAAGGAGAAAATAAAAAAACCTCGAATTTTACCAGTTTCAACTAAAGTAGGAGGCCTATTGCCTTTTCTTATCCCAATCTTTGCTGGGCTCAGTGCTACAGGGGCACTTGCAGGAGGGGCAGCTGGTGTTGCAAAAGCTGTGAATGACGCAAAAGATGCGAAACGTCAACTTGAAGAAAAAAAACGTCATAATGAAGCAATGGAAGCTATTGCCCTGGGCAAAGGGCTTTACTTAAAACCTCATAAACAAGGCGTAGAACTTCATTTAAAACCTCATACGCAGGGACAAGGATTAAAAAAAAAAGAAAAATTTTAAAAACGTCAAAGTGAAGCTACCAAAACGTGCGTTAACTAATTTTGATTTACTTAAAGTAGTAAAACGATTGAAAATTCCGCATTTTCGTGGAATTTTTATGCGCAATGAATTACCAATAATTGGTCCTAGAATGTATGAATCAGGGATAATAAATTTGGATGACAAAGATGGACCTGGAACTCATTGGTGTGCATATAAAAAAAATAAAAATAAAATTGTTTACTTTGATAGTTTTGGTAATTTATGTCCACCTTTGGATCTTATTCAATATTTTGGTGTTGATTATGTAATGTATAATCATGAAAATTATCAAAATTATGATACATATGTGTGTGGTCATTTATGTTTAAAATTTTTATGTAAGCAATTAAATATTTGTGACATGTATTCTTTGTATATAAATAAATGACATTAATTTTATATTCAGTTACTTATTAGAAATCACAATGAACGATTCAATTATATTAACGTTATCTGGAAATACTTCCATTTTAGAAACTCAATACTTTCCACCAATCAAGTTATCACCATATAAATCTTATGTACTCGGACTTATTGAGTTTCTTTCGTATAATTCGATACCTAATGTAGATGTTGGTAACAATAAGTTTTACGTAGGCAATGAAGTTTATTTTATGGCAACCGGAAGTTATGAAATAAGTGATATAAATAGAGATTTGCAAAAAATTTTGAAAATGCGCAATTGCAACATTAGTATTCAACCTAACAATAATACTTTAAAATGTATTATTTATTGTGACGATGAAATTAATTTTGAACCGAAAGATTCTATTGGTCGTTTATTAGGATTTTCCCATAGAAAATTAGAAGCTAAAGATTATCATGAATCAGATCAACCAGTGTCTATTATTAAAGTCAACTCTTTACGTATAGAATGTAACATAACTACAGGTGCATATATTAACGGTGAAAAAGTACATACAATTCATCAATTTTTCCCTATTGTTCCACCAGGATATAAGATAGTTGAAGTTCCAAATCACGTCATTTACTTACCAGTCTCTGTCAAAACAATAGACTATATTCAATTACGAATTGTTGATCAAGACGGACATTTAGTTAATTTTCGTGGTGAAACTATAACAATCAGATTACACATAAAGTCTGTTGAATAATGGGAATTGTTTATAATAATAATAATCGAAACAAGATTGGTTTTGGTTATAAAATACAAACACCATGTCACAAACAAATCAGTCAACGACAAACTGTCAAAAGATTAACACCTCAAAATTTAAAACTCCTGAAAAAATTAGGCCTGAAAATTGTAAAAAGAAGAAGAAGAGGTTAAAAAGATTTAAAATATTTTGTTCTTGTGTCTGTGTATTTGTGTATAGAACTATTATATTTTGCCATGGACGAGGAACTGTTAAATATTGAACAACCAATTATTTTTGATGAGTCAATTGCACATTATGAAGTGCACACTCAGCAGCCATACACCTCATCAACGTACAATAATAGTGACGAAATTCGAATCGCTGTACAGAATCAAGATCATTGTCTACTTCCGAGCAAAAGTTCCATTCATATCAGTGGAAAACTGTTGAAAACTGATGGAACGCCTGTAACACACACATCTCTGGTTTCTAATGGCGTTTGCCATTTATTTGAAGAAGCAAAATACGAACTCAATGGTGTAGAAATTGATAAAAATAAAAATGTAGCTCTTACAAGCTTAATGAAAAATTACGTTTCTTTTGATGCTACTCAAAGCAAATTTCTTGAAAATGTTGGTTGGTTAGACTTTACTAATGATGCAACATTGACTAATGCACAAGGCTATTTCGATGTTTGTATTCCGTTAAATATGATTTTCGGCTTTGCTGAAGATTATAAAAAAATTGTTGTAAACGCTAAACATGAGCTCATTTTTACAAGATCAAGAATAGATTCAAATGTAGTTCGTCAAACTGCACCTATTGAAGAATATAAAATTGTCATTGAAAAAGTCGAATGGCTGTTACCGTATTTAAAATTATCAGATGCTCGAAAATTTAAATTATTAAAGTATATAGAAAAGGATCCGTCGATTTCAATTAGTTTTCGAACATGGGAATTATATGAGTATCCTTTATTACCATTAACGCAAAAACATATTTGGAGCGTAAAAACTTCAACGCAATTAGAGAAACCTAGATTTATTATATTAGGGTTTCAAACAGGAAAAATAATACTACGCAAAATTCCAGTCATTTTGACCATTGTAACATTTCTGATGTAAAGCTATTTTTAAATTCGCAAAGTTATCCATATAGTAATATGAACCTTAATATTAATAGAAATCAATATTCTACTTTGTATGAAATGTACACTAATTTTCAAGATGTTTATTATGGAAAAGAATCTCAACCGCTTTTGACGAAAAAAGAATTTTTGCAATATGCTCCTTTAATTGTAATAGATTGCTCAAAACAAAATGAAGCACTAAAAAGTGGTCCTGTTGATATCCGTTTAGAATTTGAATCAAGAGAAAATTTTCCCCCTATCACTTCAGCATATTGTCTAATTTTGCATGACCGCATAGTTGAATATAAACCATTAAGTGGTATTGTAAGAAAGATTGTATAATTTTTTTAAACAAAAATTAATTAAATAATAATTATAATATCATATTTGAATATAGTTAAAGAAATGAGAAAAAGAATTTAACCATTTATTTATGTATCCAATGTGAAAAGTAAATCAAGCTTTGTAAATTAAAAAAAATTTTTTTTTTAAGTAATTTATAATTTTTTATTTTTGTAAATAGGGTAACTGTACCAATTGTCGAGGGTTTTAGGCAACATGTGACTTTGACATTTTTTTTCTCGGAAGTAAATGCACTTTAAAATTTGATTTTTGTATATTTAAACGAAGGATCTAATAATGTTTAATATTCATATTTATTTTTTTAATATAAACTAAATTGTTAAGCAAAAAATATATTTAAAAGTCAATCGAGCAAAAGCACCATTTGTCGATGGTCTTGTGCTAATTTCTCGAGGGTCTGTTCCAATTGTCGAGGGTATGACATTTTTAAACATATAACCCAATATAACCTAACAATTAACCTGTACAGATATTTGAAAATCGAGTAGATATTTATTTTTTCGATAAAAATATTATAGAACATTACCAGAAAACAAATTATTTATTTAACTATAATTGGATAATTTATAATATCGATATAAAACATTTTTATAGGAGATGATACAGGACAGAAAATTATTTAACTGTTTTTTAAACTTTTATAAATAAGTTAATTAAATTTAATCAATTTTATTAATCAGACATTAATTGAAAAAATAAATTAATTTAAGTCACATTAAATTTGTAAACGAATAAAATAAACTTTTATTACGAACTGTGAATATAATGGTTAATTATAATTAAACTATAGTACAAAATTTTTTAGTTTTAAATAATGCATTTTTTTATTAATTTTTTTTCGGTCTTCCTCGTTTTTTTGGTTGATTATTTTCTGTTGGTTGTAAATTTTTAGAGCATTTTTTTTCTTTTTCTCTGTACCTATAAATGTTTGGCATTTATGTTTGACGTTTAGTAAATAAACACTTAACCATCGATAAATGGTGCATCAGCGAAAAAAGTGACTACACCAATTTTCGAGTCATTACCTCGAAAAATGGAACTGTCAAAAAAAAAGGAACCAAATACCGATGATTTGCTTTTAAAAAATATTAAATATTTTTTTTTAACAAAAAAACATGCATACAAAATTAATTTAGTTCTTGTACAAAATTATAATAATAATTTTGTACACAAAAAGTCATTATAAATACGTTTAATTTGCATTTCTAAAAATCTGTTTTAATCAACCTGAAGTATTAAGAAAATGGAGATTTGAGTAAATTTCACAGCAGTGAATTATAATATTAATTAAATAATTATTTTAGTAGAATCGCTACGAAATTTGAATATATAAATATACAGTTGAAAATACAAAGATTATTTAGAAATTTTTTTTGTTCTTAAATATTATATATTATACTATTTATCTAAAAAAGAAAATTATGATCCTCGACAATTGGTGCACCCTCGGCAATTGGTGCAGTTACCCTAATAGTTGAATTTTAATAATTCTTAAAGATTAAAAAAATTAAAATTCAACTATTTTTTTAAATTATAATAAAGTATTGAAAAAAATAATTGTTAAAATTGAAATTAGTAGAATATGTAAAATAAATCACATGTGAAAGAAATAAGAGAAAGAATTTTATCACTTACTGATGTATCAAATCACTTGGCCTTGTGAAGAATTTGTCGGCGGTCAGTTCCGTATACTCATAAGTCATACGATTAGTATAAATACTCTATTTTAAAAATTCATTCTGTAATTTTTTGAAACGAATATTATAAACAATAAAAGAATTTTTCTTTAACTAGTTGTCTTAATTTTTTTACCATTCCATTATTTTTTTCAGAAAAATATATTTTATAAATAATTTAATTTAATTAAAAAAATTAATTTATTTTAACTCAATTTTTTCATAAATATTTTTTTTAAATTATCAATATTCTTTTTGAAAAATAAAGTTAGGGGAGGGTAGGCTACATTGAACCGGGTATTTTATAAAGTCCAAGAACTAATTAAATTTTACTAATTTTGATCAGGTTTTTGTATCAAAATTAAGCTGAAGTACTCCTTTAGTTAATACACACGTTACAAACACAAATTATTATGATTAAATAATTAAATTTAATTTTTTTCTAACAAGTCACACTTTTCTTATTTTGAAGGATGTGTGTCTACATTGAACCACCTCTAATAAAACACTACAATTTACTTCAAAAATAATATTTCCACTTACACATTGTAAAAAATCTTATTTTCCACTCAAAAAAATAGAAAATTGTTATTTAATTGTTATTACTTGTTAATATAGGAGATTAATGTATTTTAATGTCAGGTTAGGTAGGTAAAGTGACAGTTTGAGTTTATCTCGTTCACAATTGTGATGAAAGCATGTCTTCCAGTATTTTTCTTACTAATTAGTAGAGCAGACAATTTTACAACTCTTAAAATTGAAAATTCTTTGCTTTTTCGGGTGGTTCAATGATGCCGCACTCACTGTATTCACATGACATTCACAACAAAAATTGTTTATAATAAATTTGTGTAAGATTTAAAGTTCTTTATCACATCGGAATATTGAAGTTGACACCATAAGCGAAATAAATCGCAAGTTTACTAATTTTTAAAACTTCCTATTTCAATAAAAAAACGTCATTATAATTCCACCAAATTTTTTGTTTTGTAGGTGAAAAACAGTTTTTTTAGTTTTTCTTTGTAAATAATAAACCTACGTGCCCGAAATTTTTGGACATAGTTTGTTTCAGTAAAACTAACTTATATATTAAATAAGAAAAAATTTCACTCAGTCATTTCTCAGAAAATTGAAGTGGTTCACTGTTGACGCTGGTTCAATGTAGCCTACTATCCCCTATTTATAATAATTTTACAAATTTAGTTAAAAATTAATATTTTTTTAACAGCAATTATTTAAAAAAAATTTTTCCAGTAATAAACTTTTATTGATACATATTTATTTTATAATTATAAATTTTTTTGTAATATATAAGCATAGGTAGATTATTATTATAAGATTAACATATTTTGAAAAAAAAGGTTAATATAATAAAAAACATTGTGGAAATATCATTTTTAATGAACCACTTATTCGGTTTTTTGTTTTTTTTCCTTTCCTTCTTCTTCTTCTTCTTCTTCTTCTTCTTCTTGTTCCTCTCCTACATCTGCATTTTGTTCATTAATTTCATTTTCTTCTTTGCCCTCTACGTCCATAGGTTCATCTTCATCATTATCATTGTCATCGGACAGTGCCTCTTTCTCGTCATCGGAGAGTGCCTCTTTCTCGTCGGTGTTCGCCTTTTCTCCTTCCATCTCGTCTCTGTGACTCTCCTCTTCTTTGTCGTCCACAGCTGCCTCCGTCTTGTCGGTGTTCCCCTCCTTTTCATCTACCTCGTCTTCTTCTTCTATGTCCATCGTTGTCTCTGTCTCTGTCTCGTCAGTGTTCCCCTCCTTTTCTTCGTCCACCTCGTCTTCTCCTACGTCCGAGTCCATGTCCCCTTCACTTCTTTCTCTAGCTTTGATTCCCTTCTTACAGCAGTCACACAAGTCTTCTTCTTCTTCTCTGGTTCTATTAGCATTATTTTCTCCTTGATTTTCATGCCTGGAAAAGCACTCTTCAATTGTAATCTCCAATTCATCACAATCCAGGTCCTGTAAACCGCAATCAAAATTGGGATAGATGAAGTAGCGCGGGATATGCAAATCAGGTTTCCTTTCTAAACGAAATGTTGAGTTGTTGATTTTGCAAACTTCAACAACTACATTCATAAATCGTAGATATGCCCTTTCATCATCCGTCTTGTCATAGAAGCAGTTATAGTTAGTCACTGCGATGGCCACTATTAAAATGTTTCTCAGCTTATGGACGTCCACATTTTCCGATAGCCATTCCGATGGAACATCCACAGCAATGTCAAATGCAGCATACGTACAATTCTAAAAAAAAAAATTAATTAGTTTCTTAAAAAATGATTACTTTTTTTCTATTATTTAATAACTTTTTTTTATTTAAAAATATTTAATTTATTTTTTAATAGCAATTAAACAACTTAATTTAATTAATTAAATAACAATTTTGATTTAATTTATTTTTAATTTATTATATTATATTAATGTTACAATAATTAACTATATTTATTAAAATTCTCTTATTTATTTATTTATTATTTACAGCCTACTTACTACTTCATTTGTTTGCAAAATCCTCTTAATAACAAATCCATACTGATTTTGACTGGCCTCCCCTTTGATGTTATTAAAGGAAATAGTTGTCTTTCCTCGCGAGCTTAAAACTCTTCTTGCCAAATCTTTGGCTCGCATCGCAATTGAGACGATGCACAGCTGCTTAAAAGTGGATCCATTTGAGCATGCATATAGCCATTCTGATGGAGCCTCAATTCTGATGAAATGCCTCGTGTATGACATGTTTTTTTATCCTATAAATTAATTTAAAAATTTTAATTAAAGTTGTTAATTTTAATTGATTATTTTTAAAAAAATTTAATTTTTAAAAAATTTTGAAGGAATACAACATTTAATTTTATTAAAGAATAAATGAAACAAATTACTTTTAAAAAAAAATTTTAAACAGTAAATTTAAAAATTTTTTTATTTATTTATTTATTTAAAGTTTGGACGGACAAAAAAGTCCTTAACAAAAGTGATCTTATAATCTAAAGAAAATTACAAAAGAAAGAAATCATAAGATTGGCCGAAGTAAATGAAATTTAGTCAAATGAAAAAATCGTGTTTTTAAGTTCGCTGATAAATCTGTTCTCATTTGAGTTGAAAAAATCAATGCAATCGGAATAATTGTTTGCCTCCACACTAATTCTTGAGAAAACCGAATTAGCAGCATAATTACAGCGGTGATGTTGTTCATAAAAGGGTAAATAATTACGCAATCTCCTAGTAGGCACATGAAAGTTAATTTTTAATAAGAGAGCAGGACACTTGTATTTCTGATTGATCACTTTGTATAAAAATATCATATCATTATATAAAAATCTAGATGTTAGAGTAGGTATATTTAAGAGTCGCCTTAGTTGAGAATAATCGTGACTAAAGCGATCAAATGGTATCTTTAATTTAAAAGCCATAAAGCGAAGGAACCTATTTTGTATTCTCTCGATTCTCGTTATTAAATAATCATACTGCGGATGCCATATTACGGACAAATTCAAGATTATTTGCATTACTAAAGAGAAATAAAGACATTTCATTGCACGTTAGTTATAAAAATCAAAAGTGCTCCTCGTGATAAAACCAAGTATTCTTATTGATTTGTTTACAATACTAGTTACATGGTCATTAAACGAGAAATTTGTACTTAGGGTTAACCCAAGGTCAGAGATCTGGTCCTTTCTTGTCAAATGCTTATCATCAATAACATAATCATGGTGAATGACCAATTTTAATCTCGAGAATGATATAACGAAACATTTAGAAACATTTAGAGGTAATTTATTAAGTAGACACCACTCTGCGAGACCATTCAGGTCATGCTGCAAGGCAAGAAAATTATCATGATTATTGATCACCTTAAATAATTTTAAGTCATCAGCATACAAAAGAAACTTGCAATACTTAAATACTAATCGTACGTCATTAATAAATATAATAAAAAGTAAAGGACCAAGAAGAGAGCCTTGGGGTACCCCCGATGTAGCGGTGAAACAGTCAGAAAAAATAGTTTTGACACGTACTAAAAGAGGTCTATTTTGTAAATATGAGTCAATCAGGGACAGAAAGTTACCATAAATACCAAGGTTCCTGAGCTTTGCAATAAGTATTCTATGATCGACCTTATCAAAGGCTTTCGAAAAATCAGTATATACTGCGTCTATTTGATGGCCACTCTCCATATTAAGCAAAATGAAGTCAGAAAAAAGACTAAGATTAGTGTCAACAGACCTGCACTTCGTAAAACCATGTTGCTCGTCTATAATTACATTTGAAACTGTAGAATAAAGAGTATCCGCAATAATACCTTCAAATACTTTAGCAAATACACTTAGTATTGTTATAGGACGGTAGTTAGCAATATCGCTTAGATCCCCCGATTTATGAATTGGGACTATAATTCCTTTTTTCCAAAAAGAAGGAAAAGTCCCCGAAGAAATTGATTTGTTGAAAAGTAAGTAAAGTGGAAAAACAAAAGACGAGCAACATGTCTTAATAAAAAGTGGAGGTAATCCATCATGACCTGCACCCTTATTAGTATTTAAATTTTTGAGACGAGAATGTATAGTCTCTTGATTTACGGAAAAATTACTAAGATCAAGTTTATCAAGGTCACAAGTGGGACAATGAAAACTGTTTGTGTCAGGAGTTGTAAATACCGAGTTAAAAAAGGAAGCAAACAAATTCGCGACGTCACTAGTACTTTCAACATATGTATCTCTCAAATGCATAAAACTTGGGATATTTGAAAATGTTTTACGTCTAGAATTAACAAATTTCCAAAAATTTTTGGGATTTTTTACAATTTCAAGTTCGGTCGAACAAATATAATCATTATAACATTTTTTTGATAAAGTTTTACATTGTGATCGTAGATTAGAAAAAGATTCGTAGTCAGTGGAAAGACCACTATGTTTATATTTCAAATGTGCAAGTTTTTTATTATTTATTAGATTTTTTAATTCCGAAGTATACCAAGGAGGGAAGGTAGAATTATATATTGTTTTTAAAGGAACGAAAAATTCTATAGAAGTATAAACATAGTCATAAAACATTTCAACGGCATTATCAATATCACAATTACAAAAAAGAACGCTCCAATCAACATTATCCAAAAAATACATTATTGCAGCATAATCTGCATTTCTAAAATCAAATTTATCAGTAATCGGTCCTAATGTCAAGTCTGGTGACGTTTCTATATTGTCTTCAATAACAAACAATAAAGGAGGGTGATGTTTATCAACTTCTAACAAAATTTCATCCTGAACTAAATGCAACGAATATTCATTAAAATTGCAAAAAATAAGATCAAGTAAAGATCCATAATTATTTAAAAAAGAATTAATTTGTGGTAAATTCAAGAAATCAAGTGTGTCAGATACAATACTTGTTATTAATTTATGTGAATTGAGAGATCCTGCTTTAAAATTGCAAAAAGGGCCAAGATTGCTATCAGAATTCCAAACAGCATAGGGCATATTAAAATCACCAAAGATACACACTTTTGTGGATGGAAATTTTTCAAGTACACACTCCAATGACTCACATGTAGTTTCATACATTTGAATAGTTGCATTAGGAGGAATATAATATGCACCAATACAATAATGTTCCCTATTAAAATTAACTTTAACAAATAAATGTTCAATTGAATTTATATGAGAAAATAATTGAGAGTTTCTTAAGTTAGATTTGACAGCAATTAATACACCCCCACCTCTAGCATTGTCACTTGTATGTACACTTCTATCACAACGGTAAACATCAAATCCTACAAAACCTAATTCACTTGTGTTATAATCACTGTTCAACCAAGTTTCCGATAAAATTATTATATCGTATGATGAAAGTGATATTGAAATGCGCAGGGTATCAAGTTTTGTCCTGACGCCCCTGACGTTCTGATAATAGATAGATAAACCATTGATAGAGTGAAACTGAGCAGAAGTGTGAAAGGGGGTACTAAATGTATTCGAAGAGGGGGCCACATAATCAAAACTTAATCTTGTTTGTTCTCGGGCTTGTTCCTCGGACTTGTGCCGATGTACGGTGTTCCATGACGGTACTTGAGTTTCAAGTTCGTCTCTCCATTTTGACGACGATTCTCCAATTCGTTTTTCACCTCCGATAACTCTCTTCGTTGCATTGCAGTCTTGTCGAATGTTAGTGAAATACCTATCAGTTTCGGCATCATTGTTGTGTCTACTTTCGACTTCATGAATTCTCGGTGAATCAGACTCGCTGTCTCCAGAGAAGGACAGACAATTCGCAATGGCCTTGGTTTGTGTTGTTGAGCATTCTTCACGGCAATTCCGAGACGTGTCACCTTTAAATCGGTTATCAAATCAGCTGATACAAATGTAGATAAGAATTGCTTAATATTTTTCGAGAGATTTACTGTTATATCAAGCTGAGGTTCAGAATTTTTTATAGTTTCAGGTATGCCAAATAAAATTAAATTTTTTTTACGTGAAACTCTATCCTCAATTTCAGAAATGACATTACATGCAAGGGGATTACTATCTTGAAATGCATCCAACTTAGCCTTATTATTCAAAACAATACCTTCCAAATCAATGACCTTATCTTCCGTATCCTGAATTCTCTTCTCAACGTCAACAATACGCGAAACAGCCTCGTCCATTTTGTCCGAGATATTATCCATCTTATTTGAAAGAGAAGTAACTGAATCATTCACTTTGGAAATATCATTGGAGAAGGTTGCACTTAGTCCTGCTATAGCTGTTTCTATGATTGCCTTTACGTCAGATGCATCAACACCAGTAGTTATACCAGAGGAAGACGGCACACTTAGTGAATTTCCAAGAGGGGAATTGTTACGAGGTCTACAACACTTTGCAAATGCACCATTGTCTAATTTGTATGGACCCGTACATCCAGGATGATAAGGCGTTTCGCAAATTTCACAAAAAACAGCCTTAGCAACATTATTCTTGCATCCAAAACACACTTTAGGAGCCATAATTTTAAAGCGAGTGAATAAAGTCACAAAAGATAGGTTATGTTACCACGAGATATTGTAAAGTCAAAATAAAAGTTTAAAAAGTATCAAAACATAAACAAACACAACCAAAAATAATGTCAAATTTCCACCATAATACTATAGTTCGAGAAAAGTCACAAAAATCAAGTAAAAAACCAAGTAATATTACAGAAAACCGAGAGCAAGAACAAAAACACGTGTTACTCGTACTACAGCCAGGGGCTGTAGTACGATGTGTTTGATTTTTTTAATCAAAAATAATTTTTTTAAAATTAAATTTAAAAAATTTTTTAATGAGAAATTAAAAAGTATTAAAATTCGATTAAATCAAAATAAAAAAATAAAAAAAATAAAATATTTTAAATTTAAAAAAATTTTTTAAATTAAAAAAATTTTTAATTAAAATAAAAAAATTAAATATGAATGCAAAATAAAAAATTTTAAATAAAAAAATTTTAAAAAAATCGAATTTAAAAATTTGGAATTCACATAAATTTTTAAATTAAATTTTAAAAAATTTAATTTGATAAAAGCAAAATAAATGAAAATTAAATTTAAACTTAAAAATTTTTTAAATTAAATTAAAAACTTTTTTAATTTTAAAGAGTAAATTAAAAAAATTTTTAAATCAAAAAAATTTTTTTTTAAATTAAATTAAAAAAAATTTTAAATCAAAAATAATTTTTTTTAGATTAAATTAAAAAAATTTTAAATCAAAAATACAATTTTTTTTAATTAAATTAAAAAAAAAAAAAAAATTTAAATCAAAAATAATTTTATTAAATTAAATTTAAAAAATTTTAAATAAGAAAGTAACAAAATTAAAATTTGATTAAAGCAAAATAAAAGAGAATTAAAAATCAATTATTTAAAATTAAAGAAAATTTTTAAATTTTTAAATTAAAATTAAAAATTAAAAATGAATGAAAAATAAAAAATTTTAAATAAAAAATTTAAAAATTCGAATTTGAGAATTTGCAATTAACAAATTTTTTTCAAATTAAATTAAAAAAAATTAAATTTAATAAAGCCAAAATAAATGAAAAATTAAATTTAAACATTTAAAATTTTTAAAAATTAAATTAAAAACTTTTTTTTAATTAAGGTACATTTAAAAAAATTAAAATTTTAAATTAAAGAAATTAAGTTTGATTAATGGAAAATAAAAATTAAAAAAATTAAATTTGATTAAAGCAAAATAAAAGAAAATTGAATTCAAACAATTTAAAATTTTAAAAATTTAATCTAAACACCTAAAAGAAAATTGAATTCAAACATTAAAATTTTAAAAAATTTAAATTATATTTTACATAAGTGAAATATATTTAAAATATTACGTATAATTAATTAAAAAAAATATTTTAATTTATTTCTAAAAGAATTAAATGTTTAATAAATGAAATATTGTTTATTTATTGCTTATAATTAATTAATTAAAAGAAAATTTAAATAATTGAATATTGACTACAAATAATTAATTTAATTAATTATTATTATTACTAATTAAAATTTTTGAAAAATTAAATTTCAAATAAATTAAAAATTTTTTTTTTGAATATTGCTTGAAATTAATTAAAAACACTTACAATTATAAGAGATGTTGTTGAAGAAACACACACACTTTATTTAATCGCGATTAAATTTTTAAAAATTGTTAATAAAATTTTTTTTTTAATTGTTTCACAATTTATGAAAATAAATAACAATCGTTATTAAAATTCACTATTAAATTTTTTTTAATTATTTATGGGTCACTTGTTTCACTCTATTTAAAATATATATTCATATATATATTTTATTATTTGATTGTCACTTCTTTAATGAAGCTCCTTCTTAATCAAGCTCCTTTTTATACCCTGCCTTTGTTTAGAATATTTGAGACAGAGATAAGTATATGGATTGAAAGAAGAAGGTAGAGTGCGATAAGGTTCTCCCTCTGGGGGAGTAAGATGGGTGTTTCTTTCTTTATGAATATGATTATGTAATTTTCACCTTTGATTTAATTTAATTATTAATTTTTTGAAAACCCCAAGGTACAGTATTTGTACTTTTGGGTAAAAGCACTCTTTTATCATCATGCCAACTCAGAACTTTTTTCTTTTGTTTTATGGAATATAATTCATGCTTTTTACTTATTATGAAATGCTGTGATTTCATCAAGTTTTTGAAATTGAAAAGTGCTTTTTTATAATCACGAATTGTAATTTTTTTTAATGTTGAACCCTTTACTCCTTTCGCTTTTTTCTTTTCATTTTTATCACCAAAAATTTTGTAGGTATACAATTTTGAACGCAATCCTACAAATTCAGTAATAATTTTTCCATTGCATTCATCCTTCATTAGCCCTAAAATTTTTTTATTTGCTAATGGAATACCATAGATGTTATTTTGTGGGTAATCAGACGTGTCAAAAAGTCGTATATCTCTTTTAATAAAATCATAAAAATTTGGAACATGAAAATGGTAAATTAAACTATCTGTGTCCGTATAAAGTAATTTCGATTTTTCACCAAATGTTCTTTTAACATAATTGTAGTGAAAATCGTAAAGATATAATTTAGATATGTCTAAAATAGTGAATCCAACATAAATAGGTTTATTAATTTCAACTTGTAATTTATTAAGTTCTATAATAACTAAATTTTTATCAAATATATTACAGCTATGAAAATTTGGTTTACTGATAAGAGCTTTTGCTCCAAATCTACCTTCCCATTTTGTCACTATTCTAACATCCTTATGTTTTCTTACATTTTCCATAGTTTTTCCGAAAACCGAGTTATTCATTAATTTATAAAATTTTTTTCAAATGCATTAGTAGAGTGTTTTCTGAAATCCGTATTTAAATCAATATACTGTTTTAACCATTGTGATTGTTTAAACTTTAAAATTCTATGAACATTTTTTAATTTCATTCCTAATTGTAGGTAATATTTCAGATTTTTGTAATGAATTATATATTTTTCCTTCGAAAATAAATTAGTTATAAGTTTTGGTAATTTACTACCTGGAGGTACAAAATGTTCCGGGCATAAGGGCAAATCTTTGTGCAAATCATGCAATTCTGTAGGATATTCTAAATCCACTTCTAAAATATAACCATAAGGAGAATCATCCTCAATTTTAAAAACATCAAAGTCCAATATATTTTTTTCCCATTGAAAATCGGAAATAGGTAAAAATTCACACATTCCTGTACCGTATAAATTATTAATATCAAAATACATTATGTAGGATTCTTCAATATTTTCGTTAAAATCTGACCCCATAAATCTGTTGTTTGCTTTTGCATACCGATTTGAGCATTGAGAGACACCGCCTCTAATACCTTTCTCCAAAAAAAGCACCATATCTATATCAGTCAACAATTCCAATTCCACTTTTGTTAATTTTAGCATTGCATCAAATGCAAGCCCAGGTGCAGTATAATAATGTAAAGCATCTAGATTGTAAGCTGAAATACAAGTTTCTCGAAAATTTTCAAATATATCTGCTAAAAGTAAAACATCTGTTTTCAAATATAAATCCGAATAATCTCCTAAACTTTTTAAATTAAATGTGGTCCAAACATGACAAGCGTGAGTATAGTCGTCTTCTGAAATTTGCGAATCATTCAATTTGGAATAAAATTCTTCTTTACGAGGCAATTGATTTTCTTGTAATTTTTCCCAATT